CGGGACCTGAACCTGTTCAGCCTCCACAAGAGAAGGCTGAGGGGGGATCTTGTGGCCTGTTATAAACTAGTCAGGGGGGATCAGCAGGCGCTGGGGGAGTCCCTGTTCCCCCGAGCACTGCCAGGAGTGACCAGGAATAACGGTCACAAGCTGGCAGAGGGTAGGTTTAGGCTAGATTGATCAGGAGGCGCTATTTCACGGTCAGGGCGGCTAGGGTCTGGAACCAACTTCCAAGAGAAGTGGTGCAGGCTCCTACCCTGGGGGTCTTTAAGGGGAGGCTAGATGTACACCTTGCTGGGGTCATTTGACCCCAGTACTCTCTCCTGCCATGGCAGGGGGTCAGACTTGATGATCTGCTCAGGTCTCTTCCGACCCTAGAAACTATGGATGCTCCAGAGATCCCAGGCAGGGGCCATGTCCCTGCTACAGAGGAAGGCAACCCCCCTCCCAGTCTGCACCAATCTGACCAGGGGGTAAAATATCTTCCTGCCCACAGACACGATGTTGGTCTGAGCCTGGGCAGAGGGCCAAGACCCTCTAGCTTTGGTCCTAGCAGCATTAGCACAGCCCAGTCCCCCTGCCCAGCCTGGGATGCAGCCAGCACCCAGCCCCTCAGAGGGAGGCTGAAACACCTCGAGACATGGAGCAGGAAGGGCCAGGAGGCAGCCAGCCTGGGAAATCCCACAGCAGAGCACAGGCATTGCTGTGCCTAGGTCATCCCCAACCCCTCAACCTCTTCTTGAAGGGCCTTCCCTGAACTGGCGCTTCCTTTTGCTCACGTTGCCAGGTACCGTGCCCCGGAGCTGCTGCTGGGGACAACGACCCAGACGACCAGCATTGACATGTGGTGAGGCACTCGTGTTGGGCAGCAAGGCCCTGACCGGGGAGGGGAGGATGGGGCTGCCCTCCAGCTGCAGGCACCCCCGGGGGTCAAAGCAGCTCCGTGTCACCAGAATCCACGCCAAGGTCTTGCTAGTGGCACGGCTGTGCCCCACTTGCCCACGCACCCATTTCCTCCCCAGGGCCGTGGGCTGCATCCTGGCAGAGCTGCTGGCCCACAAGCCGCTGCTGCCGGGGAGCTCTGAGATCCACCAGATTGACCTGATTGTGCAGCTGCTGGGGACGCCCAACGAGAACATCTGGCCAGTGAGCACCAGCCCCGTGTTACCCCCCTGCCCCTCTCCTCCGGTCCTGGCCTTCACCCTCACCCTCACCCTCTGCTCTCCCCTGCCCCCAGGGCTTCTCCAAGCTGCCGCTGGTGAGCCAGTACACGCTGCGCAAGCAGCCCTACAACAACCTCAAGCACAAGTTCCCGTGGCTGTCGGAGGCTGGGCTGCGTCTCCTCAACTTCCTCTTCATGTACGACCCCAAGAAGAGGTGAGGAGTCCCCCTCCACTCCCCGGGCTGGAGCTGCAGAGGCTGCTGTGGCCTGGCCATGCTGCTGCCCTGTACCAGGGGTGGGGTACCAGCCTGGCAGCCCCCAGGCACTTTGTCCCAGGTGTGCCCGAGGTGTCTGGGACAGGTGAGACACCAGGCTCAGCCGCTGACCTGTCTCTTTGCCTCCCCAGGGCGACGGCAGGTGACTGCCTGGAGAGCTCCTACTTCAAGGAGAAGCCCTTGCGTAAGTGACTCCCTGCTGGTGGCTAGGGCTGGGCCTCTGAGCGCCGCCCCGAGCCTCCTTTCCTCTCTCCCCCTCCAGCCTGCGAGCCCGAGCTCATGCCCACCTTCCCGCACCACCGCAACAAGAGAGCTGCCACCACCAGCACAGGGGCTGAAACCCAGGGCAAACGCAGCAAGCCCTGAGTCGGCTGCAGGGTCAGGAACATCCTCGGTACCTTGAGCCAATAGAGACCCAGGACCCCAAGAACGGGCGCATGGGCAATTGGATCCCAGTGGGGGCTGAACTACCTGGCCGTGCCGCCCCCTGCCCACCCCTCCCCAGGGAGACAGCTGGAGCCTGATCTGTGCAGCAGCACGGAGTGGGCATTGCCCCCAGGAGGGCCAGCAGCCGTCTGGCTTTACCTGGGGAGGGGTTTGCTCCACCCGGGGCTGCTCCAGATCTCCCAGGCTCTGAGGAGGCTGCAGCTCACTCCCCGCCGTGCTGGGGTGCGTTTCCTGGCTGAGCCTTGCAGATTCTCACTTCCTCAGCCTGAGGTCTGGCTCAGCTGCCCTCTGGCTCTGGGGCTGCACGTGGCTTTGCCCGGGTACGCAGGGACCTGCATTTCCCAGCAGCCTGGGTCTGTCCCCCAGCACCTCTGGCTGTTTCGACACCCCCTCCCCTTGGGTCTTCTCCCCTCTTTGGTACAAAAGCACCAATGAGAGACTGCCCCATGTGTATCCAAGGCCTGCGCTGGTGGGGGGAGCTGCAGTGACTATGACCAACTGCTGAGCCCAAGCGCTGCTGGTCCAGCCAGGGAGAGGTGCAAGATGTGTGGTGGCCTTCCTGTGGGGACATGGCCTTGCTGTCAGCTCTGGGACCGCAGCTGCCACGGGCAGGCAGAGCCGGCTCTCATCTCTTCTGCACGCCTAGGGGCTGACGGCCTCCCCGCTCCTGGCCCACGGGCAGGACCAAGCGCTGCACACGCACGCTCCCGAGGCTGGAAGGAGACTTAAGCCTTGGGAGACAGAGCCGGGGCATGGGAGCAAAGGCAGCTGAGCTGCCTGTGGGGAGAGGAAGGGGCTATTTCTCCTTGTGCTGAGCATAGTCCTGCTTTCAATAAAGTCACATGCATGCGTCAGTGCCTGTCTCTGCTTAGCGCCTTGGTTAGGGCTGTCAGCTCAGCTACAGGAAGGAAGAGCTGGGGCACCAAGCCTGGAGCTACCCCCTCCTCCAGCCTGCGCAGCCAGGGCCCTAGGGCAATGGCAGCAGGGGCCTGCTGGGGGAACAGTACCGTGCACTGGGAGGGGGCTCTACCCACCTCCAGGGCCCACGGCAGCTTGGCCTCCCCGGCGCAGTATGGGAGGACAGGGAGCCCTCTGTGCCTTCAGCTAGAGCCACCCAGCACCAGGGTTGTGGGCTCGGCCTCCCAAGCTGACGCCAGGGGCTGCACGCTCGTGCACGCGCGTGGCTCACCATAGCAACGAAGAGCGGCACTGATACCATGGCAACAGCTGCACCATGCCTTCCCCCCCAACCCCCATCAGCCTGGGCGAGGGGGGGCACAACCCAGAAACAGAACAGGCGCTTGCCACTGTGATAGCTGAGACGTTTACTCAGAGACGGTCCCCGCCCTGCTCCTCCCCTTGCTCCTGGCCCCAGCGTTTCAGGCTGCCGAGAGAGCAGCGGGAATGCAGGTGGGCGGGTGGGCAGGCTGGGGAGAGCAGCAGTGTCCAGCACCTGCCTGGGCTACTCAGTCCTGTGGCCGGTGCCCCTGGCGGGCTACGGCCGCCCACCCTCCTGCAGCATCATGTCCACCTTGGTTCTCAGCAGCCAGAGGCGCTGCTGCTTCTCGCCGTGCAGCTCCTGCATGCTGTGCCCGCCCCGGCAGGCCTGCAGCGCCTCGCAGCCCCGGGCGTGCAGCTGCTGGCAGGTGCTGCAGCAGTAGGAGGGCAGGGTGCCTTGGCTCAGGCACAAGTGCAGCTGGTACCGCGGCACCTCAGACAGCGCCAGCACCGGCTCTGCCCCTTCCCCGCCCTCCGGCTGCGGGCAGGTGGGGGCCAGCCCCCACGCGTTCTCGGCTGCCTGGAAGGGCCGGTCGGCAGCACGGTACAGCCCCGGGGAGCTGGCCCCGGCGCGGGGGCTGTAGCTGCAGCTTGGAGCTGGGCTCCGGCTCCTGGTGTTCTCGGGGGTCAGCGAGCGGCCAACGCAGCCCAGCTCCTGCCTCAGGGACAGGAAGGAGAAGGCGGCTAGCTCCGGGTCGGCCCCGTCCCCCAGGCCCTGCTCCAGCTCGGGGTCCTCCACCTCCTGCAGGGGGTAATAGCTGCCGGCAGGCTCGCCCCACAGCTTGGGGCTCCGCTCATAGCCCCGCCGGCCTGCCAGGGGGGTGTGGGACAGGCTCCTGGGGTCGCGGTAGAGATCGGCGTCTGCCTCGCAGCCGGGCGCCGGAGCCACACCAAACTCCCTATCTCGGGGCCAGCGTGCCAGTGTCTGCAGCCTCTCCACGCAGGCGGTCAGGCCGCCGGCACCTCTGCGTGCCTGGAGCAGGTCGTCAGCCGACACGCAGCAGGGCCCCAGCTGCAGGAGGACGTCCTCCAGGATCTCGCACTCCAGCCGGGCTGCGAAGAAGCCGCAGGCCGCGTGCAGCAGCTCGGTGCCCGGGGGCGGCCGCGTCACCACCAGGTGGTGGGCGTCCCTGCGCTCGTAGCCCAGGCGGCGGAAGCTCCTGGCCAGGTCCGGCTCCGGCAGCGCTGCCCGCAGACAGTGTACGTACACCCCTGAGAACGTCTGCAACGGGAGCGCTGCATCACCTGCTGCACAGCACGGCCCCGGCCAGGCTTACCATCGTCCCAGGGATGGGACGGCAGCATCGGCACCCTTGTCCCAGCCTGCGCCGGGGAAACCAAGGCACAGGGCCGGGACACGAAAGGGGCGAGCAGCAGAGCCGTGCCCGTTCCCGGGGCTCTGCAGCCGCTCTGCCCCCATCCTGGGAGGCAGACACGCCAGAACCCAGTGCTCCAGCTCTCCACGCTACACCCTGGAGCTGAGTGAGCAGCCCCCACAGCCCTGGGTGGGGCCACCCCAACACCCACCTTGATGGTGCCGAACTCCCTGCGCCAGGGGAAGAAGTGCAAGTTGAGGGCGGCCAGCTCCAGCACCTGGAAAGCGGCGGCCAGGCCTCGCAGCGTGGGGAGCAGGCTGAGCCGGCCCCGCAGGCCACTGGCAAGCGTGGCGAAGGCGTCACTGCGCAGCGCGCCGTGCAGCTCCGGCTCCTCCAGTAGGCGACGGCGCAGGGCATCCCGCAGCACGGCGTCGGTGCAGGCCCCGGCGCGGCCCCCCTGGAAGGCGCGCTCCACGCTGCGCCGGTACTCCTGCTGCAGCCCCGCCGCCCCGCTCATCCTGGGGGAGCACGCCCCGGGGGGTCAGCGCAGGGCCTGGCCCCACTGCCCGGGGGGCAACCCTAGCTGGGGAGCACAACCCCCCAGTGGAGGGGGGGCAGACCGACCCCCCAGTGTGGGGGGGGGCAGACCGGCCCCCCATCCCAGCCCCCCCAGTGGGGGGCAGACCGACCCGTGTGGGATGCCGG